TATCCATGAGTCTCTCAAAGCTCAAAGTCGTCTGTCCCAAACTGGAATACTTCAAATGTTCTGGAGACGTTTGCCCCGAAAAACACAGGAACAATAGACACGTGGCCGGCAGCGATATGGAGATCTGGGCTGATTCTCTGAAGAAGTGTCAGATTTCCGATGTTGGATGCGCCAATCGCATCGCTGTCCACTGCATCGAGGCTGAAATGATTCAAATCACGGGCATACAGCCTTGGCAGAGACCGCTGATCGTGGAGCTCAATGCATCGCGGCATGTGGACACGGTGTATTTGACGGGTTTGACTCTTAGTCTGGTCGTCATTAACTCCACTGATGTGTTGGGCACGTGATCATAGAGAAATGCTCTCTCGCAGACAAGAAAAAGCAGCGCAATATGCGATTCAAGTGCAGGACAGTTCGCGCGCTACGACTCCTGCGCTGTTCTGGTATGAGAAAATTTACTTTGCACGTCTCTTGTGTAGAGAACCTGGCTATAGACTCTTGTTCCAACCTTCGAGATCTTGATGTGAGCGCGTCAAAGCTACACCGGATTCGAATTTGTAACTGTCCTTACTTGGAGCCCATAAACCAAATCGTTCAATTAAATCATGCGTGATTTTCTTTCTGTAATTGATGGATATGGGAATGATTTGATAGGTCCGGGGAATTGGAATGCGAGTGCCCCATTTTTATGTTTCTTCTGTTGAGACAGAACGTTCTATGCATGCTAACTTATGCTGGGTGTAATATCCCCCGACATTTTTCTTTTGGCAGAGCCTTATAATTTTCCCGCTTCTGTAAGTTTTCCATAGTAATTTCAAAGAAGCACTTTTATGTAAGGTAAGAAACATTCTAGGATAAAAATCTAACTTTTTTTCTTTTATTGTGCTTGTCTAAAGTAATAAAATTTTATACAAAAATATGCTTCTCATCGAGTCCTATTAGTAACGTTAATGGTGCTTTTTAAGCTAATAACTGGATTTCTATATTATTTACTTTCTCAAATCGCCCGGCTTCGTTTTGCTTGGTTATTGACCTGGTAAACTACAAAATTACTTTACTTCCATGACCAATTGTAAGAAAGGGAAACTTCACTGTAGCGTGGGACATTTTGTCAACGATAATTTTTACAATCACGCACTTTATCCAAGAAGGATTAAATTGACTGGTGCAACATTACTTACAATAGTATAGCACAGCTATCATTTTATTTTAGACCTCCTGATTATTCCTCTCTTTCCAAAAGCACGATCCGTTTTTTTTTGTTTTGGACTTTCTCTGTTAGAGAGTGCAATGTTGCTTGTAATGTTGCAGCGTTTGTTTGATCTGGTAGTTGTGTTTATCCTACTACTGTAGCAAAATTATTTTCTTTTGTCCGCAGGCCAATTCACCTACTGGAGTACGTCTTGGTTTAGTTCGCTTCTTGTTTATGAAAAGAAACTAAGAGATACAAGGCAATGAAAAAAATCTCTGTCAACTTTCAGAAACATTACAAACTCTAACTAAATTACAAGATTTCAGCTTTCCTAGCGCGATTTTAGCAAAGTGTAAAAATGTATGACACCGTTCTTTCAGCTTAACACGCTGTCTCCAAAATACTCCAGTCAACTTAAAATTACTCATTTACACATTATAGCAGTAGAAGTCTCCTTCCGCCATGTACTTGTCGCTGTCTGCTGAAATCAACCTTGTTGGAGGGGATGTACTTTCCGTTACCAGTCCTGCTGGATTGCGTGATTCAACGGTCACGTACACGATGTCGCCTTCAAAAAGCCCACTTGTGGTGTTTAGAGGGAGCGTGACGTTTGTCGTGACACCGATGTCCTGGAATGGCAGAATGTCCGTAGTGTTTGGATGCTTGCCTACTGCAATGCGAAATCCACTTATTCCTGATTGTTCATCGTTGAAACCAAACCAGTGAGCCCGCAGTGTTTTGTTGAATAAGTGGCAGCTGGAGTGTATTCCAAACACGTCATGCGTGCGGTCTGCACTTACTATCACTGACCCCTGTGATGAAAGCAATGAAACATTTGCTCAGTGCACGCGATTGAAAATAGTTTCAGTTTAAAATATCATTGGAATTTGTTGGTTAAGAATTCGAAAGGCATGTGCCAGATTGGTCCTTGGAATTGTTGAGGTATTTTCTGCCTTCGTGTCGTCCTTTGGTTTGCTGCATGTTTGTTTGAGGTTTTCTAAACTTAAACCAAAGTAATCAAACCTGACCAGTCATGCATACTAAATTAAATTAAATTAAGGCAATAAACCGGGGAGAACTAAGGGTAGAAAATTCGTGTGTTAAGCACCACAAAATATGCCAAAGGCTAATTGCCGTAATTAGTTTTAGTTTTGTTTTTGTTCAGTTGTATAAACAGCATGTTCTGATTGGGCAGAGCATGTTGCGCGAGTTCGTTGATCCGATTGTAGAGCGCCACAAACGTCGTCACGCAACGCTTTTCCCGAGAGAAGCGTTGCGTGACTACCCTAATAACGGCAGCGAAGGAGACTACTTTAG